TTCTCTGAAGTGATTACCCTGCTTGTGATTCCACTGACACCCACGTGTCCCTGGGAGACAGGCTTTCACTAGATTGTTTAATCTGCCTTCCTGTACAGTAGGTAACACAGCCGTAATTGAGGTGTGAAAGGAGAGAGAGCCGTGGGAGCAGATGAAACTGATAGCTGCTTTAATGAAAACTTGTCTGCACCGTGAGTCGCCGTGGATGACGGGGAGTCACCAGAATGAATGCACAGCGATTCTTCTGCCGTGGGCCTTTTTTTTTTTTTCAAAAGTAAACAACTTTTATAGCGTCTAACCGTTGAATCTTGATTTAAAGAATATTTGCGGGAGACTGGCACCACCGAAAGTTGAACTCCCAGCCATTCTTTTTATAACTTTTCCGTGTTGCCGATGAAACTGCTGATAAATAATGAGTTATCCGCGATTAACACATCATCAATGAACCTGGAACGTAAGCAGATTTAACGCACAATCTCCACTGTTTGGCTGATACCTTTCCCTTTCTGTTTCACACTCCTTTCAGAAACCAGAAAGTGGAACTGTAAAAACCCAAGCATCAGATAATGTATCTCCACGGGCTAGTGTCTTGCCCTCAGTCTGCGACACGCTTGAAGTTCCCTCTTCAATACATACGGCATACGATGTCAATCACTGCCCAAATCAGCTTTTGGGTGAAGCAAAAAAAGGCACCAAACTGATCTGTAGAAGTTGAATTAATTGAATATACTGTATCATGTTTCCACACAGAGATTGCATCTATTCTCAGATGTGTTAAGAAAAAAAAAAAAAAAAAAAAAAAACATCCTCAGATATCTGCTTAAATCCTATTACCGTGCGATACCAGTAATTAAATTGACAGTGATATTAATTGGGTTGAAGATAAGTTGCATTGAGAAGAGGACATCTTAAACTTAATTAAAAAATATCTCTGACTCAATTAAAGATTTTCAAATGCCATGTCCCGCCATATGCAATCAGGCTTTTTCTGGCGCAACAGTATCAGTTCACTCGTGGCCACATGACAAAAGACTTTCATTTTCCTTTTTTCCCTACTTTTTAAAATAGAAGTCTCTCTCCAGTGCCAAATTGACGGAGAGACAAAGACAGTAAGATTACACTTGTCTGACAAACAGATCTTTTACTTGTAAAGTTGTAGAGTTGCTGTTCAGTTGAGCAGGTCAACGGATGACTCCAGGGGTCAAGATATCTATACATAAACCCAGATATTTATATACAGCTAATATGTACGAATCTTTGTGTCCTCAGTGGACTCAGTGTTCTCCCTCGTTCTCCCCAGGGCGCTGTGCCAGCTGTGGAGACAACGTGGTGGGTGAAGGCACCGGTTGCACTGCCATGGACCAAGTCTTCCACGTCGATTGCTTTGTGTGCATGACCTGCAGCACCAAGCTGCGTGGAAAGCCCTTCTACGCCGTCGAGAAAAAGGCGTACTGCGAACCCTGCTACATTGTAAGTAACCGCAGTACTTTCTTTTTTAAAATTTCAGTCTTAACCCTAAGAATTGAAATCTTTCTTGGTCTTAATCCTAAGAATTGAAATCTTTCTGGTGGTTAACACCTCCTTGAACATTATAAAGATACATGGGGTTTAACTAAAACAAATAGTTTTCTATGCTGATGATACAATAAGGAAGGATTTTCGAAAACTCATCTGATTGTAAGTGTTAAAACTGTGCTTGAATGACTGGGCTAAGCATTTTTTTTGTCCAAAGTTGTCTTTAAAAGTCAAGGAAACTCACATTTTTTTTCCTGCAAAGGTTGATCAACAATATGGGAGTTGTTACCAACCCCCGGTCTGGGGACCAGTGTCGGTCCGTAGGTCGTTTGGTACACTGAAAAAAATGTACTACAGTTTTACTAATTTCCTTAAAGAATCCAGTCATATCCCTTTACTTTGTTCATTCAAAGATAATCTGTCAATGTTTCAAAACAACAGGTCCTTCAGACTCTGATACTGACAGGATAAGGTCTAAAGACGTTTTATTTTGAAAATGAAATGATCCTTCAATCCTTCATCCCAAACCCACAGGGACCTCATTGATTTGTTTCTCCTTGATTTAAAAATGATGTTTTCACACTAATCAGAACACGCACTTACAAACATGTTGGCATTCAGAACAATATGTATTTCTCTGATTCCGTCCGTGATTCGGACTGATGTGTGTGTTTACAGTAAAGACACTGAGTTACTGTACATGGTGTTTGAATCAGTTGCAGGGCCAGGCCAGTTAAATCATCCCACTCCAGAGGCACTCACGGTTATTACAGTTGTCTTGTCTGGAAGTTCTCCAACTCTGATATGTGTGCTAAAAAGGAATGGGGGGAAAAAAATGGAGGAACTTTATTTATGCATTTCATCAGCATAAATGTTCTTCTGGCATGAGATCAAAAGGATCGGGTAAATCTGAATTTCTTAATGAAAGTAATTTCTTCTTCTTTTATTCCCATCCTAAGGGTCATACGCCTCTGTATGATTAGAAAAGTAATGTGAGCGTTGGGTCTCTAAAGAGAAAAGCCGTATTCCAGAATGGCAAGAGAAGCAAGCGTCCGTGTCAGATATTCTAAGAATAACCACATTCAGAATCACTGATGATGATGATGATGATACATAGCTGTTGTGTCCTTAATGTAAGGCCTAGGACACGCAATGTTTTTTTTGTTTTATAGATGTATAGTAGTGTGGTTGTGTTTTGAGTGGTGGGGGGGGGGGGGGGGGGGGGGGGGGGGTTAAGATGCTGAAACTGTAGGTGTGTGAGAGAAATAGACACAACCTGACTTCAGTTGCAGTCAATCAAACGTTGGATTTTTTTTTTTTTTTTTCGTGCACTATTGAGTCGAAACTCAATTGAGTCGAAACTCAATAGGCCGGTGTGCACTAACCACCAATGGAAGTGGTATCTTCATTCACCCTTTAAAGGAGACATATCTGCTTCTAATGATGAGGAAAGATGCATAAGGATTCATCTGTTGAATATACAGTATATATACATGTATGTGTATATTTATGTATGCATATATATGCATATATATGTATACATATAATTATACATATCATTGCATATGTATATGCAATTATATATATTATTGCATATACACATACAATTATACATAATTGTATATGTACAGTATATGTATATATATATATACAAACATGTATATGTTTGTATGCATACAGTATATACCGTATTTTCCGGACTATAAGCTGTTTCTTCATTAATTATATATATATATATATATATATATATATATATACATATTATATGTATATTATATACATAATATATGTATATATGTACATATATATATACATATGTGTATATAAGTACATATATAGAGAGAGTAACATATACAGCAATATAATCCCACTGTTGTGTGCAAAATGTATCACACACACACAAAAAAAGCATCCTTTTGATTGTAAACTTTTTAAACAAATAAGCTAGCTTTTCATACTCCATACTTCTCCAGCTTCAGCTGCACTACAGAACATTAACGGCGTTGCTCAGCTAGTTTGTGTCGACGTCATCGATTCCCTGCAGTAATTGAACAGGAACTCCGCCACAGCTGTTATCAATATTACGGCTGACTTCCAGCCCCGTATTCATTCAGTTTGACAAAGCTCCATCACGCCATCTGGCCACGAATTTAAAAGGTGATGGACACATCACTGGCCTAAAAGCTGGCTCCTGCTCAAACACTTATCTCTGCCTATTTGAATACACCAGGACGTTGATAAACTGCACTGCCGTTGTGCCCATGTTTCACTTTGCATGAAGTCGTTTCATAGTCCTATTAATGTGACAGCGTCACTGAGCTATTGTTTTTTCGTATTGAGGTGTCTCAGCCAGTTGTGTCCTGATATGTGTTCCTGATTAAAGTTTCAAGTCGAGTCAAAAACTCAGATATCTGAAGAACTACAGTACACGCAACGGTGGTATTACATTGTTTTAAAAATCAATTTCAGTGTTTCAGTTACGTGCAAATATTACACGCATAACATTTTATTGTTTTTGCTGCGACAGTCACCCTCCCCCAAATCCCTCTCCTGCATCACAGTCTTGTGAAAGTATTAATTATTGACTATGCTAACACATCATATATACCATTGTTTCCCAAAGACTGGGTCGCGACCCTCAGGTGGGTCGCAATAAAAAAATGTTGGGGTCTTCTCGCATCATGTTTCCCAGGAGTTTGTGAATAATGTCTATCGACTTGGGTTGCGAAGGTTTGTGACTTTTAAAATATGGGTCCCCAGATAAAAAAGGTTCGGGAAACACTGGTATATACTGTACTTCTAAACGAATCGGTTGCATTTCGTAATTAAAAGTGAACAATCAAGTCACTTAAGTTATTTGTTTTTCCTTCAGTATTTTATTTTTTAACTTAAATTAATTCAGAGCGTTCACTTGTCTAATATGAGTGGGCCGGGCGTCACTGAACAGGAACATCGCCAGTACTTTGCTCTTGCGATTTTAGCTTCTTAAAGAAGCAATGCGGTTAAATGAAACTAATTTTTGTTTGTGCCGTTATTCTAGGATCCAATGTGAAGTCGTTTTGAGTCTTTTGAATTTGTTAAGTATGCTTATGCCTTAGTACGATTTAAAAAATCTCTACTGCCTTTCATTCTGTCGCCTTAGAAATGAGGAGCATTTTTTCCCCCCTTCTTTTCTTTCACATCAGGAAGTCTGTCTCTGACCACGAGAGCATATCAATTAAAACAATGGGGGCTTCTCATTGATCTGAGAGCCCTGCTGCTCTTTGAACAAGTCCAGCCGTGGGATTCCGTGTCACTGAGGTTAATTGCTTACACCGGGTAACGGTGCCCACAGTTCTCCAGTCCATTCTGTTCCTCATTTTTTTTCTTTTTTTTATCTGTCCTGTTACTGCAGCAATTTATTGCTACTTTCTACAGCTTTCAGCCAACTTTATTCCACATAATTAGTTTGTTAATGTGAGAGTGGTTCTTTAGCTGTCCATCGCTTCAGGGTGTGAGTTGATAAACAGTTCCATTTAGTGTGCCCGACTGTTTCCAGTGAATGATGAAACGGCTGTGGACAATGCTCATTTCCCAGCGAGCGGCAGAATCACATCCAAACCTTCACAGTTGTATGAGGATTTCTCATTGAATACAGCTGCAGAAGTGCAGTGTAATAAAGTGACACAAGGTCTCCGCGGGACCAGACCTTCATGTCAACGGAGCAGCCATAAAAATATATTTGACCACATAATAACCCTAATCTACCTCCGCTTCTTTTGACTAGATTTGATAGAACACCAAGGTCATGGACACTGACTTGCTGGGATGCAATGGGTTCATTATCTTATTTGAAACATCGGAGGTGTGTTGTTTAAAATGAATGTGCTTTTGGTCTCGTCGCTGTCCAAAAGAAATTTCTTTTAGCTCCCAAGAAAGCATAAATTTATTCTCTGTATTTTTATTATTATTTATTACTTTTTTTTTTTTTGCAATTTGTGAATATGTTTTTTCACAAACCAATTCATGTTAACTTCACTCAATATTTAATATTTTGTTTACAACATTTTGAAACATACTAAACTCATTTTTACTTTACTTGTAAACAAAGGCCGCTTCAAAGTATGGAGAAAACTTTTTTCAGCAAAGATGTTTCACTGTAAAAAAAAAGTTGTGAAATCTGCACTTTGCTGTTGCATTTTAAACTTTAGGATCAGGATAAATCAGGATAAATACAGAGAAAGCTTTTGAGAGCTTTTACTGATAAACTTAAAGTCATTTCTATATGTATAATATCTAGGGATGGCTGGATACAACTTTATCATGTCTGATACAGAGATCGATACTGCAACTTGGAGTACCAATTTCTATCCTCGTTTCTTTTCTCCTTAAGCTGATGTTGCTGTTGCTGACGTGATAGCGATAGTGATAGTTTACGGCATGTCGCGCAAAGTAACAGTAAGTTGATCGTTTGGGCTTAGGTATCAGATCGGACGGGCTATAGATTTTTTTTTTCCAATAATTGATTCTGATATTTGGACCAGTATTAGACCAATACCGATCCTGAATATCAAATCGAATCATTCACAGTGATAACCAAGCTAAGATCAAGATGACTTGATAAGGGCCTAAAACTGTATCATTTCTCTACGATCCCACAGTAAAAGACAACAAAACATACTTCACATTTTATTCCTATTTATCGCACAGAATCTTCGGCCTGAGGAGCTTGACAGTGTTATTTCCTCTGTAGTGCAGTGGCGAGCTGCAGTGACCAACTAGTCGTTCTGTAAAGTATGTAAGTACAGGTTTCAGCCAGTGAGTCAATCACAGCGGCATGACGGCTTCTAATGCAACTTTTCATCAGTACACAAAAGGTCATACACCGAGTAGCGTTCCGTGGTCTCTTACATCGTGAATTTCTTTTAAAATCTGTAATCACTATTCCTTGTTGAAGTCGAACAAATTCTCTTATT